AAAAAAAAAAAATTAACTTCTATTTGCCACTAACAGTCAACAACAAATGAAACACCAGAATTTCTAGGTTTCACAAAAAAAAGCGCACCTGCTCAAGCGTGGTCCTGATGTTGAATGCAGATGGCGCAGCATCTTCATCAGTAGATGTTAACAGGAAGTGGGCGAGCACATTGCGCTTGCTAAAAACGTCGCATTTTATTGCAAGTATAAAAAATCGTTCTTCCTTGAGCTGTTCCACTTGTCTTCTTCAACAGTGAAGAAAAAAATAAGAAATCAACTTTACCTGAATTTAATAACTTTTCCGAACTTCAAAGAAGGCCATTTTGTGTGCAACATTTTGTTCACCTAAAATTATTTCATGATTAACTAAAAGACTATAAAATATTAACAGTAATCAATATTTACAACAAAACTGATTGGATATATCAAAAATGACACTTAAAGCCCCAAAAAAAATTACTGTGTTCTCTATTTCATCCGAAAGATTTCGAAATTCTGAAGATGTCTCATTGGAAAGTCCTGCGGTCCATTCACGATTCAAAATACGCATAACAACGTTGTATGTTACCTAAATAATTCCAGTTACATTTCTTAAAATTACTATTTTCCAAAAGAAAAGTTCACTTTGGGCTATAGTTGTAGCGGCCTACTTTTGCTTGATCTAATGGATCATCGGGAATAACAGATGCTTTGAGCACAGGTTTCGCTGATGCAGGTGTCACCTTCTTTATAGATTTTTCTGGCTCACATGTATGCAAGCATATTTTTTGGTTAGACGATATCGGCGAATCAAAATGTTTTATTATATCACCAGAACCTTAAAGTTTTTTTGAATTTTAAAAAAGTTATAAACTAAAATTCCTCAGAAAAAGCGATTTTAACTAACCATCCTCCAACGGTCCACCAGTAACTGGGAAGATGAAGTAAACACATTGGTTGAGAGGTAGATCTTGTTCATCATTAGTTGCCAAACTTCTTGAGAAGTTAGCGTAAACTCTACCGGTTTCAAAGACTGCATGAATATCAAACACTCCTTGATCTTCATCTAGTTTTGGTCTTCCGTAGCCCGGTGAGTAGTAATCCAGAACGTGTACAGCAGAATCCTTAAGTTACCAATTTTATCGTGATCACTACAGCCACTTCCAATTCATTATAAAAGTATAAAACTTAATGTCAGGATGTATCGAGCATGAAAATATCAAGTAAAACGAAACCAGTGTTGTAAAATAGTTAAACGATAATACGTGTAAAAAAGAAAATGTGGTACTTTTGGGACAGATATAGCAATAATGTCCGATTTTGCCATTGAACCATCAATAGAAAAGCCAATACCGCTCCAATGATCACGTTGTATATCAGTTTCCAGAACAAAGTCAACCTTTCGTCCATTCGATCTCCAAGAAACAGCATATTTACACTCGCTACCGTTACATTTAGTTGGGTAGAAGAATGAACCTGTACACATAGTTTTCGGCCCTTCAGGCTTTTGTTTCTGTTCAGCTGAAAGTTTAGAAATGAGCTTATGCGTATCCAATGACAAGCCGTTTTTCTGTCCAGTAAATTTCTTCTAGTAAAATGATAATGATAACCTATTAGTATATAAAGAGATGATAAACTGTTTATTTACAAGATCTTCCAAAAAAAGAGGAACCAACAAGAAGCATAAGAAACTAAAAGAAAATCGCTTGCCGAAGAAGTCGACTGTTATGGTGCCGCCATTCTTTTTTCCGTCATATTTGCTAAGATCACCAAAGTAAAAATCACCGTTCTTCCCTACATCATCCTACAAGATGAATGTTGGAATCGTAACTCAACTTATAAAATTTACCTCAATTGGCAAGATAAAATTCAAATAATATTAAACCTTAAAAACTGCATCAGACTCATCCGATTCAGAAAAAACACCTTTTGCCCATACTAGCGTCATAGGGCCCTTAACTATAGAGTTGTCAGCAGTATCTTCCGCTAAAATAAAGAATGTTGTAAAACAACAGCATCCGTAACACCTTAAAACCACTCTGAGAAAATAATATAGCATTATGCAGACCTTTTAAAGGTTTCCGGAAAGTGACAGTCGTGATTCCATTTTTCTCGTACATTGTTGTCAATCGAAGCGAATCTTTACCACCAAAAAATATATCAAGCTGCGGCGTTGATTTCGAGGTGGCAAAGTAGTCTCGTACTCGGGAAACACCTCTAATCGCTGAACCGATCACGAAGTCGGCACAGTCTATTGGGCGTTCTCAAATCATACAGTATAAAATAACAAATAAAAAGTGCAAATAATAAAGGAATTATCCATCAGGGTAATTTTTTCCAAAGCTAAAACTGTGCCAGATTTTTGATTTCAAACCTGAGCTTACTTGAATCTTGTACACTGCTGTCTTCAGCAGATGTAGTAATGGCAGATGCAACAGTTGATGACGAAATATTTGAAAGTAATAAATCAGCTCTACCGGTCGCAAGCTTCAGATCACCATATAGATTAGTAACTGGTCTTACTGTCGATGCATCCATATTTGGCAGATCAGTTACTGAGGCTATTGTTTCTAAATCTCGGCAAAACTTCTTTTTATAATGGTATAAGATGGTGTTTGTCAAAAAAAAAAAAAGGAGAAAAAGAACTCAGATTCAAAAAACGCTAACCATCAGCTGCAGTAACTGGCATGTCCAGGAATGGGTCTACTTGAAGGTCAAACGGATCTGCTGCTTGACGACGTGATCGCACTGCTGGCGGGGCATCTTCTGAAGCAATCGGCACGCCATTCTAAAAGAGTCACGTGCTCTTTTATTCAAAATAAACTACATCAGATAAGCAAAATTTTCCTAACAAACAATTCTAAAAACAGAGAAAAAAATGTGCCTTGTCACAGATACAGATTTTTGTTCTTGAAACCCGCGGCTGGTACAAGTCGTGATAACCAATAGGTGTTTTTGAATTTTGAAAATCATGTGTCTTTCTAGCCAAAACTCTTCCACCGCCAATAGGGAACAGAAAATAGTAGCATTTGTTCAGAGGAAAATCTGTCGCTACATCGGCTGAGATCACTTTCCGACGGAAAGAAATAGTCTAAAAATATATGGGTAATAACAGTAAAAAGCGCAAGTATTAAATGAAATAATGAGGTTTAGAATAAATAATTTTTTTAAATAAATAAATAAGTAATAATTTTTCATTCTTTTTAAATTTACCTGAATATCATCCTCAATTTTACCACTAATATCATAGATATCTTGTCTGTCTGACGGATCAATAGCTGGTAATTGTCTTCCATATGCAAAGCGATCCGTTATATAAGCTTTCCCTTCATAAACCCACCCTGTGTAAACATCTGAATTTGCCATTGAGCCATCTCTTGAAAATCCTATTCCAGTCCATCGACCAAGCTCTTTGGCTGAGATCTCAAAGTGTACATCCTTTCGAGCAGTGCTGTATTCCCATTTAGCAATGTAGTCACAAGCTATTCCTTCACAACCGGTTGGATAACGAAATTCTGTTTCACATGATGTGGTTGCTAAAAATTTTTTAGTCAGATGCCAGGCTGTGAATCGAATTTTTTTCTTAGCAGGACCATAAAAAGAAAAGCAAAAAGCTGTCACTATAGTTACTATCTTCGAAACATACGTTGTACAGCTTGTGGAGAGGTGCAGCTCCTTATGCAAATTTCATTCTCAGAAACGTGTGGAGCAGATACGTGTTGCATGAATTGACCGTTCTGGAAAAACAAATAAAGTCAGAGAGAGAATACATCAAAAAAGTGGCTAATATTCTTCACCGTAGAAAATTTCTAAGAGCAAACAGGTCAGATTTACTTGCCTCATCAAGTCTCCCACCAGAAACAGGAAACAAGAATTTATAACATTCATTGTCTGAAAAGCGATGGTCTGATGTTCTGTCTCCAGTATCACGCTTTCTAGTAAACTGAGCCCTTAGAATGCCGTTAACATGAGTGCCAACGATTGTTGGAGTGTATACATTCTGTTCCTTATCTTCGCGTGGCGTTCCGAACCCCGTTGCATACATATCATGTAGTGATAAATGTCCATTTTTACTTTTAACAACTATCAAATCCGCTTCAGCCTAGAACACTGATTTGATCAAAATTGTGATTGTTCTACAAAAAAAATTTTTTTTGTGGAACGTATGTTTCATATAACTTTTTGTGGGAAATTTACTTAGTGGAAGCAAAGAGAAATAACTGACCATTGATCCAGTTTTTGAAAACCCGACTCCAGTCCACCAGTTCGACGGAGCTCGCGTCTCTATCGAAAATTCGATCTCATCTGATTCATCAACATAATTCCAGGATATACGATAGTCACAGTCGCGACAACCTGGTGGCCAACGCCAGTCTCCATAACAGACATCTCCAACCACTCCAGCTGCAGTCAATTAGTTGGAAAAAAGTAAATTGAAATCAAAAACTGAAAAAAACTTAAATTACTTGACAGAAGAACCAACCCGTATCTTTCTCTTCAGCAGTACCAGTTTTGAAGAACGTATTGGAACCAGCTTGGTCCTTTTCATCAGATGCTGGTTGACCAGATTTTCCCGCTGGACCTTTTGCACCTTCACCTTCTGTTCTTGCATGGCTTTCAGTGTTTCCCTCCATAGCTCCGCTTTCAGATTGTGGATTTTTTGATTTGCTTTCACTTTGGCTATTTTGTTCTGTAACATTTGCTAACTTCCGGTTTTCGGAAATATCCGAGGTGTTTTTTCTTGCTGTCTCAGAATCGAAAAAATCAGTATTTTCCGGCTTATTACTGCTTGATTTTTGCGGCACGACAACCGCTGGCTTTAAGTTTTTGGGGTTTTCGGCCGGCAATTCTGAGATGTTCTTTTTGTGCACTAATTCCATTGATGGTCGTA